GAGACCTCCAAAACAACAAATGTTGAGACATTTGAATCAGCTTCTATTTCCTCTCAGATGTCTTTCAAGCTTATCTCTTTTTATCCTTGCTGTCATTTGAAGTTATTTCTTAATTTAATTTCTAGTTTACCAATTTTACATGTAAATAAGTCTAGTCTACTTATCCTATCTATTGAAATGTTTTGTTATTGTTGTTTATTTTAATAATTATATTTTCCTTTAACAAGGTCTTGATGTGGTTCTTTGCAAAATTTCTGGTTCTTTTGCAAAATTTCTCCTTCTTGATTCATTGTCACTGTTCTTGCTACATCATTTACTATTCTTGCTTTTTAGATATGATTGCATACTTTATCTCTGTGTAGACTATATATATGAGCATTTAAAGTTTTTTCAGATTATGATGCTAACATTTCCATAAGAATAAATTTTTCTTTTGTTGAGAATATGACCTCCTTTCATAGGCTGTTGTCTGATGGCTGTGATGTAATCTGCCAGAAAATAGCTGTGCCTTAATTGATTAATTAATTGATAGTATACAACTGACAAGGTGAGAAGTGATGTTCTGACTGTGCAACCAGGCTACTTTGTGTGGCATTGCTTCACCCTTGGCTTTGGAAGGAAGGAGTAGGGAGAAAGTAAGAGGGAGGAAATTGTGGTTTTTAGCTCCCAGGTTTGAATGGCATTGAACACCAATGTCATGAATTCAGTAACATCTCAACCATCAGAAAATCTGTGTACAATTTGCCCTTGCTTATATCTGTATTTTCCTTAATATTTTCTTATTCATGTAAATTTTCCTTTTGTCTGTCTTTCAGCATTATGTTTTATGAGACTACTTAATATATATTAATTTATGCTTATTTAGATCCTTAATTACCAGGAATATATTGAAGCTGTTCAAATATCCCTATGGACGTGTCATTTACCAAATCTCTTTAATTTTTTGTACAGCTTCTTGCTTGCCCTATATTATCTCACTGCTTCAGGCAAATGTGATGTGGAATAGTTACCACTGATCGTTTTCAACAAATACCCTGGGGAGAAGATTCTTTCCACTGTTTTAGTGTGAGCACTGAGTCAGGGTAAATAAAGAAAACCCCTGTGATTTTAACTGCCAGGCAGATCAACTCACTAAAATTTCTCTGGTCGTGGGATTCCTACACAATTTACTTTCACTAGTTGCTGCGAGGCTGCCGATTTTCACAGTCAGTAAGGTTACAAAGCTGTTGGTTTCCAGGCCACTGCAAAGCTGGACAGAAGAAATTTGGGACAGAAGTTAAAATGTGACAAAACTCAACTATTTGTATTCTTTAATAACTGCTCTTAAGATTGTTGTAAGCCTTTGGTTAATTTCTAAATTTCTGAAAAAGTTGATTTTCACAGTTTCTGACTATGCTTTCATTACTTTTTCTATTGTTTGATGAATGGTTCTAATAAATACTAACCACTGCAGTGAGTGTGTTGGTATTATTTGAAAATCAGTTGAGTCTGGTGTGTTTCAGATTGTTTTATGCTGATCTTTATCAATATAATTATCTTACAGTCAAATTTATTTATAAATTATGTTTCTACTAAGAAAACTATTTCTAGATTCTAACCAATACCTGACAAATATCTCTACACACACATATATATACCTGTATATGTATATATATATTTAATTTAATTTATTTATTTTTGGCTGTGCTGTCTACTTATATTTTATGTATATTTAACTTTATTAAAATTATACCATAATCATTAAAATTATCAATTACACTGTATTATAATTTCATTTGTTGATTTTTTTATGCATCTTTTATACCATCTTGAGAATATTGTCTGAAGCTTGTCTGGTATTTTAGAAAGAATGAAGTGTATATATATTCTAATAGTGCACTTATTTATTCACTCTTGAAAGCAGTCATTAATTAAAAAATGAGCAGTGATGCAATTTTCTAACCAATGGCAAGAGACATGTCTGTTCAAATACATACACAGAGATAGCAAGAGAAACTCTATTCCAATATTTTTTTTTAAATGTATTATAACCTGCCTGAAAAGTTAATCTGCTCACAGTACATAATAAGTTTAATTAAGTTGCTTCTTAGTATAGTTTCTATTTGAGTCAAACAGTTGTAGAATTCTTGAAACAGCTTCATAAAATTTCAGGTTTCCAAGAAACACAATTGTGAGTCCTGAGACCATTTTTCTTGTTTTCTTGTGAAATCCTCCAAGTGAATACATAGCCATAAGGGTAAATATGGAAACAGAGAAAAGGTAAGTAGGACAAAGTTTTAAAAAAATTACTGAGATAAAAAGTAAACACCTAAGCGCTGCAATTGAAATGACCAATTCAGATGGTGTCTTTGTAAATATCACCCAGGCTCCCAAAGTAGAACTAATAGCTGTTTGCTCTTTCCATATTACTTTTTTCACAACTCTATCTTGCTATGAATCACTGCCTTCTTTGTACTATAGAATAAGTTATTTCCCTTATAAGACTGTGAGGACTTCAGAGGAAAAACCTATTGTTAGGTGTATTTTTAATGCTCTATCTCTAATAAATAGCAGAGTTGGTACTCTAGGAATATTTGTAGGATTAAACAATAAATGCATATATACTTGATAAAGGTAATTCAATAATTCTTTGCTAAAAATTAAGAAATTTACAGTTAAAGACTATCTTACAGCTATGAAACTCATGCTTAAACTTTAATATAATTTCTCCTATGAATAACCTACTTTTTCTATATCAGTGACTGTAATACTGTAGAAAAGCATTTTCATTTATAAGCATGATATTTGTGGGAATGAAGGTTGGGTTAACTAGTGGAGGTGATGATGACCTCATGCTAACTAATTTGAAAATTTTTTGTGATTTGTGGTTCTGAAAATTTAGAATGAGATATTCACAGAAGAAAGCTTTTAATTAATAACTTTTTCTAGAGTCAGAAATATATTAACTGTAAAAGAAAATTATATACAAATTGAAGAATATATAATATAATTAAATTACCTTCAAGGTCCCTCCTAAATTATGAATATTTGTTTTAGGTGCCTTATATTAAATGAAAACTAAGTTCAACTTAAACTGTATTTAGTAGAATTTTTAAGTAACTGGAATCTGTGGGATTTGGGAAAAGAGGAAGGACACTGGAAGAGTGAATTATATTCCCTTCTTAGAAGGTCAGAAATTGACTGTTTAACCATGAAATTTTAGGCTTACATGAAGCTAATTATGGGGGTGGGTGAAGGGACTATAAGTTGGTTTGGGTAGATTGATAAAATTGGATTTACTATATTAGAGAAACAACCGGTCCATTGTATGTTAAGACAAATTTTCGGCCATCTTCACTTCAGATTTGTTAAACTTTATTGTAACAACACAACAGTGATAAAAATTCATAATATACTGAGCTTCCTTTGTATGACCAGCACTCTGCTAAACATTTACTGCTATCTTCTTTAGTCCTTATTATTATACTCAGTGAAGAAAGCTGAGCACTGAAAAATTGATGCTTTTGAACTATGATGTTGGAGAAGACTTTTGAGAGTCCCTTGGACTGCAAGGAGATCCAACCAGTCCATCCTAAAGGAGATCAGTCCTGGGTGTTCATTGGAAGGACTGATGCTGAAGCTGAAACTCCAATACTTTGGCCACCTGATGCAAAGAGTTGACTCATTGGAAAAGACCCTGATGCTGGGAGGGATTGGGGGCAGGAGGAGAAGGGGATGACAGAGGATGAGATGCCTGGATGGCATCACCAACTCGATGGACATGGGTTTGGGTAGACTCCGGGAGTTGGTGATGGACAGGGAGGCCTGGCGTGCTGCGGTTCATGGGGTCGCAAAGAGTCAGACACGACTGAGTGACTGAACTGAACTGAACTGAACTGATTGTACTCAGTCATGTCCAACTTTTTGTGACCCCATGGACTATAACCTGCCAGGCTCTTCTGTCCATGGAATTTCCCAGGCAAGATTACTCAGTGGGTTGCCATTTCCTTCTCCAGGGGTTCCTCCCCACCCGGGAATAGAACCTGTTTCTTGAGTCTCCTGCACTGATAGGAAGCTTCTTTAACGTTGCACCTTCTGGGAAGCCTTCTCTAGTCCTTACAAGCTGACACTGGAGAGTAGTTCTTGTCTTTCATTGAACAATTTTCTTTACAACTGAGTAGCTACTCTTTCCAGGAGAGAACCGTACTGAAGGGAATTTTGCTGGTCTCACTTCCATCCTGCCCTTTCACTCACTTATCCTTATGGGAAGAGAAATCATATCTCTAAGCAGTGAAACGAGGGGGACTCATGTGAGGATAGCGTCTTCTGAGGACTTCGTGCTTCTCTTGTCCTGTATGGAAATTACTGAAACTGTTCCAACCGCTTTGTTTAGTTGAGAGTAATACACTACTTAATTTTGACTTTAGAATTTAATCAGTATTTTCTGATCTAGATTACCAAGATGAAAATAGATATTCTAAAGTCTAACTTACTCCTGGGGATATCTTCTATTTAAATCTAATTTTAAATAATGGATATAAGTAGCTACATTTTAGGACCAGAAAAACTGAGGCATAGAGAGATTAAATCATGCTTAAGGTCATCTAACTTATAAAAGGTAAGTTGGTATTTAAAATACGGATCTCTCTGTACTTCTTGCTTTCATGTGCTTTTTGCAATCCTTCCACTCTGCCATCCTTGCCCTTCAGGCCAAACCCTCTAGAGAGAAAATTGGAGCCTATGAATGTATAACATGTTGCCTATACATAAATGCACTGTGAAATTGCCATTTCCAGAGTGTGCTGGCATAAAACTGTAACTATTGTTAAAAATGACCAGATTATAAAATAATTATATGAACATGGTGCCTTTTGTCCAGGTGAACATGTAAGTCGTTTAGTCAATTCTAGTAGCCCTTCATTATACTACCTAATGAGTGAGTAAATACTATACCACGTGTAGACTAGCGCGTCCTATTCTCAGGAACTAATCTGACTCATACTGTTGAATCATATTTGCAGTAAGATGATTTGGCGGCAGCGCTTCACAGTGGCTGAAGAGAGACTAGAATTGTGGTCCTCAGTCCTGTTTCCTGTCCTATGGGAATCAACCCAATGCCTTCCCACTGTGGTCTCCAGAAACAGAGCGATGGCATATGGACGTGGTTCAGAGCAGAAGAGGTTACAGTTTATAAGACATAAGAAGGGACTAGGACCTGCTATCCTGGAGGTAGGTAAGTTGAAGTAGTGTGTCTGACCTGAGAAAGGGGTTAAAAGACCTTAGACAATGAGGACAAAGTTGCGAGTGGGGCATGGAAGGGAATATGGAAGGGGAGGGGGAGATTGGTTTAGGGAAGTTATTAATAGAAAAAGGCTAAAGAATAATACTGCTAATTTAATTTCATTATTTTTTTTTTTTACCTACAGAATCATTAGCCCACTTTCCACCTTTCCTTCTACCTAACCAGGGAATTAATGAACCTCTTGTACCCTGGAGTTGCAGGAGGAGGCACAATAGAGGTTATTCTCTGCTCGGGGTTTCCGAATACATCTGTCACAGCAACAATAACAAACATATTCACTAAGGACTTAAACTGTGTAACATTCTGAGAAGGTCTTCAGGATTTAATTTTATTTGATCGTCATAAAAACCTTGAGATAGGTGCTGTTATTATATTCAGTTTATAGATGAGGAAACTGAGAGAAAGAAACCTTAAATAACATGTTTTAGATCACATAGCCAATAAATTACTTGGTGCGCCAGGCGTCCTGATTCCAGGTTCTATATTATTAGCCATTATGTATTACCTCCTCGGAAGAAGAAATCACTGGGATAAAATATGAGTCTTTGTAGTTGCAAGTCTTATCCTTTGGGATAGTACAAGCAAAATTCACTATGGAGGCAAGGTATGTCAAAGATCGAAGTGAGGAGTGTGACCTCTTTCTTGACACTACCAGTTGAGATAAGAGCTCTTCTCCATTTTCTGGGACCTTGTGTGACCCAAGTTGAAAGAGTGAGCAACAATCCAGAAATATCACTGATATGAAAATTTTTGAAGTAATCATGGTAAGTGGGGCTCAAATCACTTATAAGAATAATAAAGCAATGTGACACTTATGAAATACAAAATATTCTGGAGAAATTATTATCTATTACATTATCTAGTAGTATCTAGTAGTATATTATCTACTAGTATCTATCCTATTAGTAGTGAAGGATATACATACAGCAGACCCTCCTCCAGTCTCCATACTGAGATTTTGCTCTGCCTTTGGAGACCTAAGAGATTGTGTGTGTTGTGTGTGTTAGGTTCTCAGTCGTGTCTGACTTTTGTGACCCCATGTACTGTAGCCCACCAGGCTCCTCTATCCATGGAATTCTCCAGGCAAGAATAGTGGAGCAGGTAGCCATTTCTTTTCCAGGGCATCTTCCCAACCCAGGGATTGAATCTGGGTCTCCTGCGTTGTAGGCAGATTGTTTACCTTCTGATCCACCAGGGGAAGCCCTGGGTTCATTATACTAGCCCACAATTTTCTGTGCTTCCCTTCTACATCCTATTGGCACGTCACTAAGCAAGAATTTAAATTCCGATGGAGTCTGGTTATGAAGAGAAATGCAAGCAGTAAATCAGAAAACAAAGTAACTATCTGTGACATGATTTTCTCAAAGGTCCTAGACATGACCCTTCAGTTCAGTCACTCAGTCATGTCTGACTCTTTGTGACCCCATGGACTGCAGCACGCCATGTTTCCCTGTCCATTCCCAGAGCTTACTCAAACTCATGTCCATCAAGTCAGTGATACCACCCAACCATCTCATCCTCTGTCATCCCCTTCTCTTCCCACCTTCAATCTTTCCCAGCATCGGGGTCTTTTCCAATGAGTTAGCTCTTCGCATCAAGTGGCCGAAGTATTGGAGCTTCAGCTTCAGCATCAGTCCTTCCAATGAATATTCAGGACTGATTTCCTTTAGGATGGACTGGTTTGATCTTCTTGCAATCCAAGGGACTCTCATGAGTCTTCTCCACCACCACAGTTCAAAAGCATCAATTCTTTGATGCTCAGCTTTCTTTATAGTCCAACTGTCACATCCATACATGACTACTGGAAAAACCATAGCTTTGACTAGATGGACCTTTGTTGCCAAAGGAACGTCTCTGCTTTTTAATATTCTGTCTAGGTTGGTCATAACTTTTCTGCTAAAGAGCAAGCATCTTAATTTCATGGCTGCAGTCACCATCTGCAATGATTTTGGAGTCCCCCCAAAATAAAGTCTCTTTCTGTTTCCATTGTTTCCCCATCTATTTTCCATGAAGTGATGAAACCTGATGCCATGATCTTAGTTTTCTGAATGTTGAGTTTTAATCCAAACTTTTTACTATCTTCTTTCACTTTCAACTAGAAAGTTCAAACCCAGGTTGATGTCCCTACTCCATATCTTTTCAGAGGGTAGCTAGAGAATGCTCCAGTGGTTAAAAATGGGAACACAAACTCTACAGTGAACTTCACATGCAAGCTTAAAATAAGAAAACAGGTATTAGAGAAAAAATCTATTGTAGCATGGGCCCCAGCCCCCAGATCATGGACTGGTAGCAGTCTGTGACACAGCAGGAGGTGAGTGGCTGGCAGCAAGCAAAGCTCCATCTGTGTTTACAGCCACTCCAGATCACTTGCATCTCCACCTGAGCTTCACCTGCTGGCAGATCAGTGGTGGCATTAGATTCTCACAGGAGCACAAACTCCACCGTGAACGTCTCATGCAAGCAATATAGGTTGTGAGCTCCTAATGAGACTCCTGAAACCATCCTACTACACAGGTCTGTGAAAAAACTGTATTCCACTAAAGCGGCTCCTAACTGGAGAAGGCAATGGCACCCCACTCCAGTACTCTTGCCTGGGAAATCCCATGGACAAAGGAGCCCGGTAGGCTACAGTCCATGGGGTCGCTAAGAGTCGGACACAACTAAGAGACTTCCCTTTCCCTTTTCACTTTCATGCACTGGAGAAGAAAATGGCGACCCACTCCAGTGTTCTCACCGGGAGAATCCCAGGGACGGAGGAGCCTGGTGGGCTGCCCTCTGTGGGATCGCACAGAGTCGGACACAACTGAAGTGACTTAGCAGCAGTAACAGCAAAGTGGTTCCTGGTGCCAAAAATGTTGGAGACCGCTGTATTACAGGGCTTAAAATTGAGGTTACTACCATCTTCAATGATGAAAGTACAGAAATGAGGTCCTTGATCATAAGAAGAGAAAACAATGTGTTCTACGCCATCCTTTATGCAATTGAAGATTAATATAGGTGATGTGATTTCTCAGCAGAGTGATAGAAGATGAGGTTAAAGAGGTAAGCTTGGGTTAAAACCTGGAATGTCATGATAAAAAATATGGGATTTATCTAAACTGTGATGGGGGTTTCCGTGGAGTATTTCAGTAGAATGGTGATGTTGTCTGATTCATAATCACTTGGGGGTACTACATGGAAAATTCCTCTTAGAGACAGAAGTGCAGGGACCAGTTACAGCATCCCTGGTGTTTGGAAGGTCATAGCTTGCTGTAGAACTGTAGCAGTAGAAAGTAAGAAGTGATGGAGTTTAGTATTTATCGTAGTAAATGAATGAATGCAAGTTTTGTGTCATTGGGTCATAGGAACTTACTACATACACTTAGGAATACCTCTGATAAGGGTAGTCATGGAGTGCTTAGGTGTTGGGATATCCAAACACTAGCAGTTTCATTCCTTTGAGATCAATTTGGGCTGAGGAGTAAACCCTTTTCTGCTTTTTTGCTGAGTTTCCTTCAGGACTAGGAAGAGAAACTTAAAATAAGAAAACAGATCTTAGAGCAAATTGTTGGAATTAGACAAGGAAAACATGGTAAAACATTTAACATCCTGCATTCTGGCTGTTTGGCAGTGACCTCTTTAAAAATTTACAGAAGACATCTGTACAAAAGACCTTTTTACTGCTTCTCCTTGCATGGAAAGTTGGGTAGCAATCTGCAACACACACACACACACACACACACACACAAATAATTGTTTCTAGTACATGTTCTTTTTTTTCTTGCAGTAACAGAAACCTCCAAGTTCAAGTTCAGCTACATCTATCCAGCTACAGACTCTATTTCCCAGCTTCTCTTGGAGACCGGTCTAGATACATGGCTACATTCTGGCTCATGGAATGTGAAGGTGGGTTATGCGTGCAACCCTACAAGCAATCACAACTCCAGAAAGAAGTTGCTTACCATTCATTTCTTTTTTCTACTCTTGGCTCAAATTGAAACATAGAAATTATGGTGTGAATTCACTGTAATCATATAGAAAATTCCAACTGAAGACAGGACAAAGCGGCAGGATGACATCTGCATCCTTGTATGACTTCATAGAGAACTACTCTGATCGCCCCTCCATCTGAGGCTGTTACACGAGAGAGGATAATATTCTTGCACTTTTGCTTGAAGAACTGTATTGTAAGGTCTCTTAAAGCAGCACAGACGATGTACTACCTAATACATAATTATTATATATTGCAAGAAATATAATTTAAAATTTAGGCAACTTATTTCTACTATCATTTAAAGAGTAGTTATTGTTGTAGCTTATGTTTCTACTTTTTCTTAAGTTTATGAATCTTGTAATTATAGATGACTTGCAAAGCTGGATCTCTTTCCCACATCATCTACGTGATATTGAGGGCTGCATTTGATGCACCCGGAGAATAGAAAAGTGTGCCCTTCAAATTGCATGTAATTAGAATCAATAAAATACTGAAATTATTACCTTCAGAAGTAACATTCTAAAATATGATTTGTGGATGTATTGCTGATGAGAATTTGGTTTCTCTGAAATCTTATTAAGAACACTAAAATGTAACTAGTGAATTTATGACCTAATTAATTGTTATGTGCCAAATAGAACTATGGTGCTTAAAAGGGATATAAATGTCTTAAAGAGGACAGCAGCGTGAATTTGTCCAGTAGAGTGGTATGGTCTTGCAGAGTGGCAGGCAAAGGCAAATGTCACACTGGCAGCTGGTATAGACACAGAAACAAACTTTACTGGGGAAATTTATAATTAGAGAAACAGTAAGATGAAGCATGTTGTCCCTTACGTTCTTATTTTTCCTTGGAGAGACATACGCAGTGAAACAGCAAGAGGAAATTGCAAAGAATGCTACTGTAGGAATGGGACTCTGTCACCACCATATTCTGTTTCTAGGACTGCGCGAGAAGGGCCTTGCAGATGTTTCGTGAGGGATGGCAAAGTTCATAGATTAGCTGTCAGCTGTTCAGGGGAAGGTTTCACCCAAAGACTGGAACACTGATTGTTCAAAACTGCTGTTCACACAGCAAAGGTAAATCTGGATGCCCTGTGGGTGACTGATACCTTTGTAGGCGATTCCAGTAGGGTGAAGGGGAGGTTTTTCTTTTTTAATTTATTTATCTACTTAAGATGATATCTATTCATTCCATATTCTGAAATATGCACATATTAGCACATGTATCCCTATACTCCCAACTTCTATCATCTAAACACCAGAATTTTCTTAATTATTTTTATCCTGGCATTTTTAATACCTATTAATATCTTTTTATCCTGAAGTGATTGAAATAAAGATTCTAGATTTATGTCTTGGTTGGTTTAATTTCAACATGATATATATACATGTGCATACATGTATATATATTTTCCAGTAGCTTCACATCCGTGTTATATTTCAGTATTGATATTCTTTTTAAAAGCACTTTTACTTATACAAGCTGAGTTTTAATTCTTATATGTGAATGCGTTAGTTTTCTGCCTTATACCTTTGTCTGATACTCAATAACTTCATCATGTCTTGTTTTTTGGAACAGCACTATTTTTTTCATAATGAACTCAGCTCTTGTTCACTTTATTTGCACCTGTAGATTGCTTTTCATTGGAGGATAATTGCTTTACAATGTTGTGTTAGCTTCTGCTGTACACTGAAGTGAAGCCGCCCTATGTGTACACATCCTCCCTCCTTCTTGAGCCTGCCCTGCACCACCTCCATCCCACCCCACCAGCTCATCACAGAGCACCACGCTGAGCTCCCTGTGTTATTCAGGAGCTCACCGCTGGCTATCTATTTACACATGGTAGTGTATACGTGTCAATCCTATACTCTGTATTTGTCTCACCATCCCCTTCCCCACCTCTGTCGATATGTCCTTTTTCTGTGTCTATGTCTCCATTTCTGCCTTACAAACAGGATCATCTGTGTGATCTTTCTATATTGCATACATATGCATTAATATGCGATACTTGTTTTCTCTTTCTGACGTACTTCAATCACTCTATGATAGACTCCAGGTTCACCCAGATCACGACAAATGGCCCAGTTTTGTTCTTTTTTATTGCTGAGTATTATTCCATTGTATGTATGTACCATATCTTTATTCATTCATCTTTAGTTTGTTTCCATTCATTAGGTCATGGCTATTGTAAATAGTGCTGCAGTGAATATTGGGGCACATATGTCTTTTTTGAAGTATGGTTTTCTCAGGGTATATGCCCAGTAGTGGGATTGATAAGTCATATGATAGTTCTATTTTTTAGTTTTCTAAGGCATCTCCATGCTATTCTCTATAGTGGTTGTATCAATTTGCATTACCACCAGCAGTGCAATTTTTTCTGCTCTATATACTGTTTTCTTCTCCATTTACCCTCTTTCTTCTCCATATTTTACATCTCCTATTGATTTTCCCATATCTACTATCTCTTTCTCATCATTTTCACTTTTTTGGTTCCTTTTTAGGTATATTAATTTAGACATGCTTTGCTCTGTATAGTGAAAATGGCCCACTCAGGTATTTTTTTGTTTTCCCCTTTGTCCGTCCACTTCTCCTAACATTCTTCCTTGTTCCATAAATGTATCTTTATTTGAGTCTCCCAGGTGTCTGCTGTTTGAATCAAGGTAAATCTGTAATTGTTAAAGACCTTGATAAATATGTATCATCTCTTGATATACTATATTAGTTTGGTCCAAACCATATTTTCGTAGCAAACAACTTTCAGAGAAACTATTTTTTTAATTATATCATTTTCCTAATTGCCTGGTAGATATTCTTTTCTCTTTGTATCCATTTTGGTAGCCCTTTCATGGGAAAAATAGAAGCAGCATGAACTTTGTCATATTTTACCAAATATCTCTAATTTAAATTTTTTTCAAAAGTTCTTTACCTTTAGACATAGTCAGTAAAGCCAATGAAGTCTTAATTCCCATGAAAGAGAATTTACCTGAGACAGACATCCCACAGTGCCATATTTAGTTGACTAGTGGAGAAAGAAAAATTAAGAAATAAAAGAGGAAGTATAGTCTTACCATATAATCAGCTTACCTAGAAGTATTTTCCCAGTGATTAAAAATCTAAGTATTTTCCTAATGATTAAAAAATTATGTTTACGTAAAAAACCTGCAAGGCGAGTAGATAAACAGACTGCAGCACGTTTATACCATGCATTAGTGTTGAATGATAAAAATATATGAGTTATCGTGTGATGAAAAGACATGGAGGAAACTTAAGTCATTTGGCTCAGGCTGACGAGCAATGATTACAATTATACGACATTCTGAAAAAGAAAAACTATAGAGACAATCAAAAGATCAGTAGTTTCTGGGGGTTGGGAGTAGAGAAGGACTGAATAATAATCAAAGTACAGGAAAATTTGAAGATGGTGGAACTATTCTGTGTGATACCATAATGGTAGATACACGACATTATGCATGTATCAAGCATGTAGAACTTTACAGCCAAAGAAGAAACCTTAATTTATGCTAATTTAAAAATATTATTTAGGAGGTCAAGGTTCTGAGGACAGAATTCAGACTGTGACAAAAGATTCTAACTGTATTACAAATGTATAAAATAGCATCCCTGAAGGGGCTGTTGTGAAAAGATTCTATCTGAAATAATTTTGGAAATGAACTGTGTCTGTAAGACTGAAGGTAAAAGAAAGAACTGTACTGATAAAGCTGATAAAGTTATTTCCTCTAGGGGTATGAATTAACAATCCTAATATGGTCATACATGTATAATGAAATAGAACAATTAAGCAAATGTATGGAGGAGGGTAATTGCTTATTTTGGGATTGGAGTTTACAAATAATTGAAGGGAGGAGGCTAGAACGATCTATGCAGTGATGGTTTAGATTTGAAGCCATCAGTAAGAACTCACAGTTTAATATAGATACACATGGTGACATAAAAATATTTTAGGTAAAGTTGATTCTTGTTTGCCATGACAGTTATGTTCTATAAAGTTACTCTGAACATTGAATTAGCAAATGCTGAACCATCCCTCTGAAAGGAAATATAGGGTGAGATTCCTATAAGCCTCTGGTCACAACATTTTTGTCAAGTCATCAATACATAACCTGTTTTGTGTGTGATTCTGTTTAAAGACATCTTATTTAATATATACTGTTGATTCTTTAGTGTTGAACTCACAGCCAACAACAGTATAATTCATGCCTGAGTGAAGCTTATCTAACAGTAGTGTTTTCATCATGAGGGACATGACAAACTTCTTGGATTTAGGAACACTAGAAATCACTTTAGCGTGACACTTGAGGATCAGATTAAACAGTGCAATCTCTAAGTAAAGAAGAAAAACGTGAAAACATTGCATAAATAGACCATAAGAAGGACTTTTTCTTGCATTATAAGAGCTGAATCAAGGAGGCAGAATGTCCTTGTTTGACCTCAGCTGGGATATGCATGTGACTCAAAGTTTTTACTGTCCTGTGATGTTTATAAATGACTGTGAAAGTGCAATGAATATTGAATTCGGGATTAAAAATAAATTTTAGCAAATATGAAAATACACAAATAAAGGAGATCTGCTATGGTTTACACATACATGTTAGTGTGCACCACATGTATTTCTTTGCTCTACCAGCTGAAAGAGTCCAAAAGAAATGACCCTCCTGTAGTAACAAGTAAGCTAGTGCCCAGATCTTGGTTTCTTAATACCATTTCCAATGACAGGAACCAGGGCTTCCCAGGGAAATATCAGCTTCTAAGATTGATTGGAAATTGCAGGAAATATGCAAGATGAGCCTATAGTATCTTGAAGTACCAGAAAGTAAGAATGTGGTAAAAAATTAAAAAACCAAAAATACACATAAGCTAACCAAAAGAGCTTCTAAAGGAAATCAGTCCTGAATATTCATTGGAATGACTGATGCTGAAGCTGAAACACCAATACTTTGGCCACCTGATTCGAAGAACTGACTCATTTGAAAAGACCCTGATACTGGGAGAGATTGAAGGCAGGAGGAGAAGGGGATGACAGAGGATGAGATGGTTGGATGGTATCACCGACTGAATGGACATGAGTTTGGGTAAACTCCGGGAGTTGATGATGGACAGGGAGGCCTGGCATGCTACAGTCCATGGGGTCTCAAAGAGTTGGACACAACTTTGCGACTGAATTGAACTGAACTGAACCAAAAGAGCTTCTAATGACCAATTCTGGAACAATTTGAGCAATAAAATAAAGTATAAAATAAATTTCTATGTATATATACTGATATAAATAAATATTTGGGTAACTTAATATATGAGAAGAAGAAACAAATCTCCCATCTAGGAGAATTCCAAATAATTTATGTTTATACTCTGCCCTCAAGCAGAGAAAACATAACTCCTCATCTCTTAAGTGCAGTTTGTGATTTTTATTTTCTTCCAAAGAGTATAGCATGAAAAGGGGAAAAATACAGTAACTTTATAGTGGAGAAATTTGACAATCACTACCTCAGCAAGCGATCAAGGTTAACATCAATAATGATAAATCATGTGGATTGCTAGTACTCTTGATCTGATGTGATGAAAATGGCACTCTATATCTGTGACCTTCCTACCCTAGACCTGTAACTCAGATCTAATCATGAGAAAAACATAAAATGCAACAGAGAGCCATCTTACAAATTACCTGATCAGTACTCCTCAAAATAGTCAGCATCAGTAAAAACAGGAAATGTCTGATAAAGTGTCATAGCCAAAAAGAACCTAAGGAAGCACGACAACCAAATGTAATGTGGTATCGTGGATATGATCCTGAAACAGAAAAGGGATATTAAGTAAAAATTTTAAATGTAAAAGCAAGACTTTAGTTAATAGTGGAGTTATCAATATTGATTCTTTAATGATAACAAATATACCATACTAATGAAATGTGTTAATAATAGGAAAAACTGAGCATTATATATTGGAAATATGCTCTATCTTCTTAAGTTTTTTGTAAATTTAAAACCATTCTTGTAGAGATAAATTAAAAAATTGCCCCACACCTTCTAAAATCAAGTATTTTTGTCAATTTTTGTGTTGCTTTATCTCTTTCAAGTTATCCTCCCTTTTTCTACCTAACTCTTCAAAAGAGTGCTCTTGGTACAGGTGGATGTGAGAAATGCTAACTTTAAGGGGGACAAGTCAAAAGAATAGATGAAGGTACTGAAAGTGCGTGAACTCTCTACTTAGTTGGAATTGAGTGTAAAACATGGGCAAATACAATTCTTCCACAAGAAAGCCAGGCCTATGACAAAAAAAAGAGAAAAAAAAATATTAAAGAGAGATTGTACCAGACATCTGCTGAATCATATCACTTGTCTCACTGAAATCAACACACAATTTATATCCAAAGGATGAAATATTTATTTCATTTTTTATTCTTCAAGTAATAAAGGAGTTGATATATGAAGTAAAATAATCTATCCATCATGCAGAATGGCAGAAGCTTTCAAATGAATTTGTAGATTTTTTTCTGGTGCAATAGAGGAATTAAAAGAGTTCCCTGGTGGCTTAGAGGGTAAAGCGTCTGCCTGCAATGCGGGAGACCTGGGTTTGATCCCTAGGTTGGGAAGATCCCCTGGAGAAGGCAATTGCACCCCACTCCAGTACTCTTGCCTGGAAAATCCCACGGACGGAGGAGCCTGGTAGGCTACAGTCCATGGGGCCGCAAAGAGTCGGACACAACTGAGCGACTTCACTTTCACTTTCTTTCAGGGGAATTAACTATCACTATAGTGACTGAAACCAATTTTTTTTGATTGGGAAAGTTTCAGTGACATTGAACCAAGTGGTGCTTCCACTTGTTAAACTCTCCTTCTTAGAATCTATTAAAAGAAAACTTAAAGATTTGATTATATTAAATGAAGCTTTGGGATCAATGGAGGGGGGCAGAGAAAAAAAAACTAAAGAAATAGTTGTACAACCATCACCACTATTTATTTCCAATCTTTTTTGTCAACTCAGATAGAAATTCTATAACCGTTAAGCAGTAACTGACTTCCTCCCCCTTCAGTCCCCAGCTCTGGATCGTCTCTAATCCGCTTTGTGCTTGTATTAATTGCCTCTTCCAGATATTTCGTGTAAGTGGAATCACGCAGTGTTTGTCCTTTGCCTGGTTTATTTCATTCAGCATAGTGTTTTCAAATTTCATGCAGGTTGTAGCGTATATCAGAACTTCATTTCTTTTCCTGGATGAATATTTTTCCACTGTATGTATGTAACACATTTAATTGCGATTTTTGGAAAAAAAAAATCCTTCTAAATTTGTGAAATACAGAAATACCTTCTGTTGGAGTGAAAGTTAGTGATAAATAGTAAAAATACATTGTAAACCCTTTGCTCTACTTAAAAAAAAAAAACCCTATGGTGGAAATTATAGACCAACAAAGTCCAGATTATTAACTACCACTGGATTTTCACTACTATTTTAATGATGTGCTGACTTTTTAGTTATCGGTGCTCTTGAAATATAAAACAAAACACAGTAACTCAGTGAGATTAACTGGAACAAGAACAGTTATATATACTTCCTCCCAAAGTTTAAGCTTTCTATGATATGACAAATATTTGTGGAATACACATCACTCTTATGTCTGACAACACTACAAAGCCTTCTACTCAAGATGGATCATAGCATTTCAGAAAGATCTATCATTGTATATAGCTCAGTGTATCAAGTAAATTGAGAGAACTGCAGAGGATACACTGCTTAGGACTGATCATAGATTGTGCTACTGACAGTGCCAGATGTTTTTTGCTATCATAATTTGTTACTAAGGAAGTAATTTATTTAAAAAAAAAAAAACAGTTTCAGCCAGGTGTTTAAAGCTTGGAATATATTTCCCAATGACATCATGTCTGAAAAACTACTTTTAGGCTCCTTATCAGTCTCGCGAATTGATGTGCTGTTGTTGTTCAGCCACCAAGTCATGTCCGACCTTTGTGAAGACCCCATGGACTGTAGCCCACCAGGCTCCTCTGTCCACGGGATTCTCCAGGCAAGAATACTGGAGTGTGTGGCCATGCCCTTCTCCAGGGGATATTCTGACCCAGCGATCCAACCAGCATCTCTTTTGTCTCCCACACTGGCAGGTGTGTTCTTTACCTCTGTAAAAATGAAAGTGTTAACCTCTCAGTCCTGTCCAACTCTTTTGAACCCATGGATGTAGCCCACCAGGCTCTTCCTTCCATGGAATTCTCCAGGCAAGAATACTGGAGTGGATTGCCATTTCCTTCTCCAGGATATCATCCCAACTCAGTGGTTTAACCTGCATCTCCTGCTTGAGAGGCAGATTCTTTACCACTGAGCCACCTGGAAGCCCTAATTGATGTATAGCTAAATCTAAAAATTCCAGATTATATGCCACCAAAACTACTGTTCCAGATTATTTTTCCTAAAGGAATTCCTATTAGTGATTTCAGAAATGAGTTTCTTCCATTTATTCCATCCAGGACTTCTGTACTTCTTGCCCATTCTCACTGGATCTTTTCCTTGAAAGGCAGTAGTAATATCACCTGAAATGTCATAAAGACAAGATTTCAGGAGTGGTTAAAAAGCCAAAATATGATTAATGTTGGATTTTTGCTCAATTTAATTCAAGGAAATTAATTGCAGTGATCAAACATCCTTTGGTCTCAATAAAGGGCAGAAATGGTATGGACCTAACAGAAGCAGAAGATATTAAGATAGATATTAAGAAGATATTAAGAAAAGATGGCAAGAATACACAGAAGAACTGTATAAAAAAGATCTTCATGATCCATCTCATCAAGGCTATGATTTTTCCAGTAGTCATGTATGGATGTGAGAGTTGGACTATAAAGAAAGCTGAGCACCAAAGAATTGATGCTTTTGAACTGTGGTGTTGGAGAAGACTCTTGAGAGTCCCTTGGACTNGTGACAGGCCCATGAAGAAGATTTTGATGATCAATGAAAGCCAGGCTGAGAATACCAGGAATTTTTGTCTGTACCTGAACTTGAGTTTAATTAAATTCAATACTGTGCATGAACAGCGGGATAAATATCTACTTTAACAAAACGTTCCTCCCTTTCTCATTAAAAAATTGCATAAGTAATTCATGTTTATTACAGAAAAATTAAAGAATAATAATAAAAAGGAGAAAAAAATTCCAAATCAAAGTTTTAGTGCAATATATCAACGGAAGGACAGGCATTTAGTCGTCTTTCATTAACCGATAGCAATGTCCCTATAAAAATAAGAATATAAAAAGTTATTCATCAGCTTTGGGGGAAATGGCAACATATCTCTAAATTTTGGACAAATTCTCTTAGCAACATTACAGATGAGACTTTTTGTAAGTCTCCAAGCACTAAAGGCAGATTGTTGTTTGGAAAAGTAAAAAAGTCACAGAGTAACACTACAAGTAATTCTAATGTGAAAGGATGAGGCAAGAGGGAAAGGTAGGTGGGGGGAGAGATAGAGACTGCAGTAATGATCAGTAGGTTGACTGAATAAACACCAAAATTTGGGGGCCTTAAAAAAAGTTTATTTCTTTCTTATCTAATGATCCTGGGCTATTATTCATATCGAAGGCTGTTCTCTATGCTG